TATTATTATTATTATTATTATTATTATTATTATTATTATTTATTTATAGACGAGCAGTTAGCCCTGTTTTATGTAACTAAAATCATACAAAAATCGAAATCGAACAACACGATAGCGTATGAAATCACTTTCACACTTTACGTCGGTTTAAAAATTCTTACTGTGAATCTAATGACTGCTTTCGAATTAAGTATCGAAATTACAGAGCAACGTTTCGGGATCCTGCTTGAATTCGACAAGAACTGTTGATCCGAGCCGAATTTTTGGATAGCCACGCACCCTTAGTAAACACATGTACGACGAGGCGTCGTCATTTTAAATTAATTGAACCCTCTCTGTCGCGAGACACGTAACGGAGGAAAATTTGAGTAAAGGAAAAGGTTTAAAAAAAAAGAATCGAGTCACCTAGCATAATATGTATGTATGAGAATTTTTATGCTCGTGTACATAAATTCTGTAATTTGAATCGATCTAATGGCTGTCCTAATCGTCTGTATTAAACGAGGATTTACTTAACTGAAACGAAGGAAAAAGAGAGAAATGTATAAGGAAATGTGAAGAAAGAAAGAAGACGAAAAAAAGGCGCGACATTTTCCTCCTGTGATATGTATTTGAATTGCGATTCTGCATTTTGTTTTCAAAATTTCTAGTCCCCACGACTTACGTATACATATTTGTCAAACTAGGCAATCATGTGTTACGATACGCTCTTATTGTTGGAACACGTTCATCGAAACGGCCAAATACTTAAATAACGAATGTAACTTAACTTAATTATGCCCATCAATCGTATTCGCAATATTTTTCTCATTCATTAATAGACTGCGGACCCTTATGCAAAATAAAATACTTATAACAATCAATTCAGAGAATGCATTTCGGATTGAATCTATTTCCTGTAGGTACAGTTCGTTTATAAATGTATAAAATCCGCAGTCTATTCATTGACTTAAAAGGATGCAAGGAACCTACATCAGAATTTAAGGTAGTTGTTGTCTAAATTAAAAGCATTGAAAGTTCTTGGAAATTTTGTACAAGATTACTGTAAATACCAAAGAATATGTTTTGAGAAACCTTCAATCGACTGACCATCCTGTTCTTGAGGTATCGTCAGTTAGAATTCGGAAATTTTACCATAGTTTATCGTTGGAGTAATGACGATGATACAAGAAAAATATTCTTCGTCCATTGCAATTAATGATAGATCCTTGAAATCGAGTAAAAATAAATACTTGAAAAATGATGAAATGATTACAGACTATAATGAAGCATATAATTTTTTTTGAGATTATCAACCTCCTAGTTACGGAGTAATATAATTTTAAATGTTAATGCTTTATCATTTGTCACGTTGACTATAAGAAATTTGATGGATGTAAGAACTTTCAGCCATCTAACAAACCAACACGTACGAGTACATATTATTTTTTTCGAAAATACTTATTTTGTCATTTCATGGAATAAAATAATAACGAAAATTCATCTTTCTTTAATACATGAATTTTTAATGCAGAAGTCTTGTATTTGTAGCTGCTTACTTCTAAATCTAAGCCTGAATGAAATAGTAGTGCAACAACGACCTTAACAATTTAAAGTATCTTTTCTAAAAATAAAAAGATAAGTCGAATGAAAGCCAATTTAGAAACATGATTAACTGGCATAAGCTAAGAAGAACGATAATCGAGATAATATCGTCTAAAATGAAACGGAAACTCTCCCCTCCTTCTATCCCCATGTCTCGTGTTCCGACCGAAGCGCAAGATCACTCTTTCTCCTTTCACGAAGTCCAATTCTTTCCATCTACCCCGAATCTCGTATAACGCTATTTTTTATCCTTGAGATTTTTCGGTCATGGTGCTATATATAATATCTGTACATATATATTGTGGGAATCGTTGCGTAATCAATGTACCATTATTATTAATACTGTTCGAATTACTGGTATTCAATTATGATTACAATTATTTTATTAATATTTCGTTATCAATTGACACTCGTATCTACGTGAGCGTTTTTACACTTAAATCAATCGTTAGCTTACCTGCGTGAGTTTTGGGAAACGCTACGAACAAAGAGACGGTAAAACGATGGCGATTCCTTTCAATTTCACAGAGATATATATATATATATATATATAGAAAATATACGTATATTCCGCCCGTAAAACAGGACTTTGCAATAATCATGATTTTGTTTGATATTAATTCTATGATTGTATATTTATAGATAAGTTGAGCTCAAGCGTGTATGTATCTCGTTACGTACGCTGTATCACGTATACATTATACATACTCTTCATTTTTATAATAGGCGAGATATTGATATGATTGACTGCGTACTAAACCTGTACCGGACGTTTTATAAATCGGAAACCAGCCAATAATAAACGATTCGCGAGCCGGATATAAGACGACCTGAAAACGAAAATACATCCGCGGTTCGAAATTCTCAGTTGCCTCCCGACGGAACTTAATCAGGCCGTGGAGAGAGGACGAGCGAGGGGTCGATGAATAGTTCAGAAACAATCGATGACGGGTCGTCCTATTACCGTCACCGAATCTGCGCTTTTTTCTCGATCGATTGACGATTTACGAAAACAGCCTACGTGCAACACGATATAACGATATACGTATGTAACGTGTATCGAGGTGATTTTACAATGACGATTACGATGGGTAGGTTTCACGACGGCGTGCCAAGCGAGGCGGGAATTGTTCTTTGAAGACAAGAGAAGAATAACTACTACAATATATATGTATAAAATAATATAAACGACGATAATGATATTAAGGTAAATAAGTACGACAAAACGACTGCTCTATACTGCTAAAGTACAAATGTTTCATTTTAATTGTTTTAGAAAAAAAAACATCGATTTGTTAGAGATTAGGTTTAAACTTAGGAGCGTGTGCCACTGGAACCAGCTTCTCGAGCGTCGAAGGCGTAGACGGGGTAGAAATATTTAGCCATAAGCTACTTCTATCACAGCACGGGTTACAATACTATTTTCTCTTACTTATATCAGTAAACAGCGGATTTTAAAAATGTATTATTAGACTGCTTATCTTTATGCGAAATAAAGCATTTATGATATCAATGTAGAGAATGAAATCTAACTACGAATTTCTTGTGTATTTTAAAAATCATAATATGCATTTCACTTTTTATATTTTCTGTACCCTTATATATTAAATCAATTTTTAATGTTTTCTGTACGTACTAATTTTTCTGTAAACACATAAAATCCGCAGTCTATTTATTAATTACCACGGACCTAATATTTTGTTAGTTGGGGGAAATAGTTGAATCAAAAGTAGAAATTAAAAGCTATGTACGTAGGGAAAGAAACTCGCCACGCCTGGTCTATACTTTCGACACACATAGAAGCTGCGTCCAGTAGTACACATTCTAAGGGTTTTAAGTGCGTACACGCACTGACGCGCGATGTACGTGTAATTATATTTATTTGTTAATCTTTCTATCTATCTATCGTTCTATCGTTCTATCGATATCTCTGTCTCTATTTTTCATTACAATTAAATGAACGATGGATCCTCCATTTAGCGCGTCCATTAAGAAACAGTACGTGACACGCTCATGCTCGCTCATTTCACGTTCATTCTAACGCATATACATATAATATACAGAGTAATTCGTAACGGGTAGTACAACCAAATTTCTTAGGAAAAAATAAATCGAAACTATATACAGAATAACGATTTTTCATCCGAGACTTGGAAAAGTAACATTGAACTTTTTCAAAACCTCAAATAAAAATAGATTATTTCTTATATTTTACTATTCAGACTCGCATCGACGTGAAAAGTGACATAAATGTACATTATTACTAAATTGATCATTTCGCACTGACCACAATTGCTCAGTAACACGATTGATTATTTCTTCATATTACATGAAGTAGGTTGATTACTTCAAGAAATTTCAAGGATCTCATACAGCCTATAGGCTCCAGCAAATTTACTCTGATAAATGTTCTAACAAATAAAAGTTATTATTCTATATTACGGATTTATTTTGTCATAAGAAATCTACGCATGCACGGTTGTACTACCCTGTACGAAACGCCATATGTTTCACAAACGCAAAACACGTATCTTTCCTGCCGTACTTAAACCTAAGTCGCGTGACACATATTTTGTCCCATTGTGGTTCGTTATAGATGCACAAATACAGTGAAGAAAAAAAAAACTGCATCGTTCTCGTCGTAACACGCACAGATTTCGAACAGCCTCAAATCTATCAGAACTCCATTTCACGGACGATCGCCACGGTGGTCTCTGATTAATTATTATTATTATTATCGACGCTGGATAGGAAACAGAACATGCGAGTGACGGGAGGATTTTCTTTTTCTACAGCGTTTCCCAATCGTTTTCATTTTCGCCGAGTTACTTAACCGTACGCATGATAGTCCGTGTACATTTTACGGAAATTTATATTTTTATAAACACGACTGAAGAAATGGGATCTGAACAGAGATTTGTTTCACACTTTCGAACGTACCCGACTTGTCTCGACCCTTAGTGTGTTCCAAAGGAATCTTTCAATGAACTCTAATTGTAAGAGAAATATATTGCACTGTGTTCATTCTAATAAGAATGTGTAAGGAGATTAAATGGTGTATTATAATTGTTTCGATAGGCAATTGGGTGTTAACGTAAAGAATATCTAATTGTAAATCTGCGAACTGCCTCTGAATATAGTAGTATCCGCATGGTGGAAATACATAAAGCGTTACTATTACGCGACTGACTAAGTTCATGGCCTTCCTTGTAACGGCCATATCGTTTTACTCATTAATTGTATTTCGTGTCAAAAGGAGCGAAGTTATGAAATATTCAAAGTGAAAATTAACTTCAACTTAAAATTTCTAAATTACCAATAGAAAAGAAATATTGAATGGTCGGAAAATGGCCGCCGTATGAAATTCGCGCAGTAAATGACGAAAATGGTACCACCGGAAGAAAGCACCTTATAATGATGTATTTCCACTATAAATATCTGTTTCGCTGTTCCCCCGATTATTATACAGTACGAACGCTTCTACGTAATAAAAATTTTTGCAACTATAGTGTCAACGTATGTACAGATTGGGAAACGTTGATTCCTCTGATCAAAACACGATAATAATACGTATACGTATTGTTCGACTGTACGCCAGTGAGGCAATCACGCGTCACTAATCACGAAACTATTGTAGAGTCATTCGACGACTTTGTTCCTAAAAGAAGAATCATTTCGACTTACTATTTTTCTCAGTCGATACAGATAAGACGTTTTAATTGATTCTTGCTCGAAATGATACGGCGAGAACGGTACATGAATTTAAAACAGAGGACTTTAATTCAAAATGTAATTGTCAGACAAATGCCTGAAAAAAATATTTTTCTAATAACTAACTAATCTTAATACGTCTGCCCATTATAGATAACGATTTCGAGCGAGAATTAATTAAAATCGAGGCTCAAGTACGTAACATCGTTTGAATCAATAAATACGTTATTATTGTCGTTACTTGGTTCGACCATACGATGTATGTATTTCCATCTCGTTCACGGATGCTCGCATTGAACATTATTATTCATTTCGTATAACTTATCACGATGACGACCGCATTCAATCACATTAAGCGTTTCATCCAATTACTGATTAATTTTCGATATACTCAAATCCGATTCGATCGATCTTTTTAATTATTTTGCGAAGCAAACTGTTTCCTCTATTTTTAGTAAACGGTGTGTATCGATCGACGACTTTTACATCTATCGTTGCAAAATATTTTTAAATAAAAGCGATCATTATTATAATCGATGTTTGATTCGTAATAAAAAGCATACGACGATATTCGATATTTAAAGTAGTTCAACAATCGCAAATAGAGAAAACAGTAAAGAAGAAGATACTCTCGACAAAGATTTCCAAAATTGGAATCCGTCGCTAACGAGAATTCGTTCTAATTTCCATGTTGTTCGCAATATTTAAAGCTAACGGATGTAAAGAAAAAAGACGAATCGGGAAAGAAAATATGACATCTCTGTCATAAATACAGGGATTGAAATGGTTACGAAATAAACTGTTTCAAAATGTTACGTATCCATTCTGACTCAACAGATACAGAGAATCAAAAAAATGTCATAATTGTTATTTAGATATATCGGTTCTGACAATCAGGACCGCTATATCTGATAACAGTTATGGCAATTTTAGGTTCTCAATAACTGTTTAAAGAACCGGAATATCATAACTGGTTTCAACCCCTGCATCGATAATCGTTGTACTAATTATCAATTCATATTTTATATGTTTCTCACGTGAGACAAAAGTTTGTCCATAGTTTAGCTCATTGCATATATCAATCGTATTTTTGTAAATTCCTTTTAAAAGTCGATTACCATCGGGGGTCTCAGGCTGCCGACAAAATTGTTTTGCAACGAATCGTTAATAAAAGAAAAATAAAAAACGGACTAGCCCGCAGAGAGTTAAAATACGATCACTATACGGACAACGTTTGTCGTGGATAGAACATTTCGACCATTTGAGTGCAGAGGATCGTGAACGCGTTCCTTAATGCTCATCAGATCGGATCAATACCGAGTTAATCCTCAATTCCACGACTAGTTTCGTGCATTTAATTGATAGAACATCTCGTATCAATAATATCGAGTCAGTCGCCAATATTGACGAGGAATATGAAAAGCACGAAGGCCACCTTTCATATTTTCTTTGTCGCGAAACAGCTATTGAACGCAACCGACCAGACAACGCACGTCCAGCGGTTGTGTCTTCTTGAATGAAAAGAAATATCGTTTATGATTCATCAACCGTTATTTGATCCGTATCGGTTATAATAAACTTTTTAAATAGTGTTAACAAAAATTCATTCCTTTCCGTCTTGGGTCCTTCAACTCGTCCGAACTGATTCAAAACTCGAATGCATACCGCGTTTAGACACATGCTCTGTACTCTGCACTCAAATGGTACGATTCACGATTACGCGCCAGTTAAGTCGATTACTATATCTGTAAGATCGCTTAAGGTAAAATACGAACGATCCGAAATAATCAGAACAACTTATTGTTAATGCATCTATAACAGGGGTGTGCGAGTACTCGCGTTGAGCGAGATCCTGAAAGTTTCTGGAACATATTTGGTTCGGGTACCGGAAAATAAAATCCGAACTCGAATTGCAATTTAAAACGGAATTCGATACCATTATATTCGATAACTAGACTGTGGACTTTTATGCAAAATCATATTTTTTTTAAATGTATTTTAAGGAGTGTGATCCGTTTGTACAGATTTTTCATTTGTATAAATTTATAACGTGAGATTCACATTATTTATAATAATAGTAATTATCTCTTCATTTCAGCCTCTTGGCCCAGAAATAGACTTGGTTTAAGAGAGTTACATCATTTTAATTTTCTACATGCAAATTTTCTATAATTACATAAAAGTCTAATAACTTCTATCGATAAAATATAAAAACACTTTGAAACTTAAAAGTATGAGATCAATTTGAAAAATCATCTTCCGAATCGAATGAAAGCTTCCGATATGATTTCGAGGCCTGAGTCGATATTCTGGTACTTGCAGGAAACAAAACATGATATCTCCATCATATATAATCGATGTAATGATTATCAATTCATATTTTATATGTTTCTCATGTAAGACAAAAGTTTGTCATTTTATGTTTCTCGTGCTGGTTGAACTTTCGGGATCCTGCTCGACTGGAGGTACCCGCACACTCCTAGTCTATAAATGAATTGAGATCTTCTATATGAAAAATGTTTGTAGATAATTAGGAAACGTGAAATTTTTGACTCGTCGTTGACATCCGTAGTTCTTCTTCTTTTATAAACCGACCCATTCTTCATTCGTGTTAAAACGATAAATTAGGCATTACCCTTGTCCAATGATGTCGTCCCTAATACGTACGACTTTCAATTTAATATTATATGAATGTATTTGTTATTTAAATCATTTTAGAAGTAGGGACGTTTCTCGAAATATCTTTTGTAGTTGACAATGAAAACATGTACAAAAATGTTTTAAAAAAAGTTACTATTGAATGTAATTACGATAAAAAAAGATATTTGTATAAAATTGTACTTAATTTCTCTACCAATAACAAATCCAAAGATATTTTGCGCGGTTACGAGTCAATTGTAATTCTTTATTTTAATCGATTAACGAAACGGCAAAGAATAAATGACAATGAAAAATTCATGTATTTATTTACATTGAAAGAGATATAAATATTACAAAAAATACAAACGCTGTAATTAGAATTTGATAGAAATGTAATTTAAAATTATTTTGCAACACAGATATTTGTTGTTAACTTTCGATTACAGGTGATTGCTATTAATATTGTATGTACAACTAAACACGAAGAACGCTGTAAATGACAAAATGGCATATGAAAAAATGGGATAACAATCTTAATACATATATATAGTAATAATAGCATATTGCGCAAATGTAATGTAAGAATTCTTCTTGAATCTCTTTGATATTTTTAACAGATATGTTTTTTATGAACAAAATGTGTTTGGCATCTACAGCTTTTTCTATATTCGTAACTGAACTTCATACTTATCTCGTTGCTGCTAAGTTTTGATACATGTATTATTTTCACGCGTGAAATAGATTATGTTATAACTTGAAATATAAAATTTAAAAACTTGTTCATACCTGTCTCAGAAATTTCATTCTCCATAACAAAAGTCTGTCTTAAATTAAAAATATGAGAAGAAAAAGAGTGAGTGTAGGGTAATAAGAATAGGAATAGTACTTTCTGCTACTGTTTCAAATCGATCCAAATATTCTATTTGTTCTTTCTTTTCTAATATCAACTTCTCTATTTTCGGTGGTAAATTAATTCCAATCAAGTTAAATATCGCACTCCTAGTTGGTATTCCAATATCTTTCAATCATTTGATCATTATACAAAACTCGCGGAATAAACATTTATAAAAAATAATATAGCATTATTTTATTATTAGCGACACTTTTATTTTTTACTTTTGTCAAGTTTTATGTCACTCATGGAATTTCCATGATATAATTTCACTGACGTAAGAATTTTGACTTTCCATGTTTTGAATATGCAACTTCCGGTTTAGGCGTATTTTGGGATTTTTAAGTAGGCGTCCGGCTGTTGATGCTTTCTCTCTGCTTTTGACGTATTAAACATTTTCGCATAACTTTTATTGATGATGTCTAACCGGCAATGAGTCTTTACGTGGGTGAACACAGAGCTCAAGACGTAAGTTTACAGTGTCATCGAGGTACTGTGATACTGTGCAAGTGAGACGGGATTTTACGAAACGAACAGGAGGTTAGATTTGCCCATGTTCGTTCAACAGTATATGAAGGTAAGATGCCAAATCATGAACACGTAAATAGATCAAGAGCCAATGATAGATCGTAACGTAAATATAAGCAAAATATTGTTCCCGAAGGATATTTCGGTAATCTCGAATCTTGTGGAAGATGTGATGCGTATAAAATTCTACAAGAGGTTAGATGATCTCCGATATTTCACGTTGAACTGTGCATAAAGTATTTATTTCAAACTTATTGTTAGTTAACTTAGAATCGAGGAAGTATTAGTTTCCTTGGTAATAATAAAAATATCTAAATGTCATAATGTTTGAATAACACGAGTAAATTAAATATAACGTTGATAATATTTGTATATAGTAAATATCATTAAAAATAGATTACACTAATGAAATTAAATGTTCTTAATTATAACTCACTTAAATAAATCAATAACCGATATCTGACTCTTTGCACTCAATTTATTTTCAACGTTATTTTGTACTGTTTTCTCCAGCGTAATGTACAAGTGCAAAGAGAAAGAAATAAAACATTATTACAAAGTGCTTTACATTTTGTTATTAAGCAATTGCATAATTTGTAACATGTTATAAATGATGTTAGGTTTCTCAAAAAGATAATGGGTCAAACTCTTAGTGAACCAGTGACAGCTAAGAAATCAGCATGCTGCAAGAATTCCTATTACAGAGTTGGAAGTTCTTGCATGCAAGGATGGCGTATTAAAATGGAAGATTGTCACGTTCATATCCTTTCGTTGCCTGATGATCCTGGCACTGCATTCTTTGCAGTATACGATGGTCACGGAGGTGAGAGTTAATACAAAATTGAGTAAAACGTATTTGAACTCGTAGACAATCGGTACTCTGATGTTTACTGTACATAAGAGTTAGGAGGATTATTCACGATTGTACCAGTCAGACCTAACTGTAATTACATGCGCACTCAAAGAAATTTATTATACCGATAGGCTCAGCAATGGCGCAACATGCTGAGAAACATCTTCACGAATATATAATTAGAAGAAGCGAGTACAAAACTGGAAATATTGTCCAAGCGATACAACAAGGTTTCTTGGAGTTAGACAAAGATATGCAAAATGATATTGTACTTAAAGACAAACAAGCAGGAACCACTGCTATAGCGCTCCTTGTTAAAGATAACGTTGTATATAGCGTAAGTCCGTTTCGATTCACCAGTTCTTTAATCGTTTCTATTATTGTTTTATAATAAGATGTCTGCAGGCGAATGCGGGCGATAGTAGGGCAGTAGCGAGCGTAAAGGGCACCGCCGTTCCACTTAGCCGTGATCATAAACCCACGCTAAAGGACGAACGCGAAAGAATCAAAGCTGCTGGTGGCTGGGTCGAATTCAACAGAGTCAACGGCCAGTTAGCGTTATCTCGGGCCCTCGGAGATTTCATGTTCAAACGGAACGAACATAAATCGCCGCAAGATCAAATCGTAACTGGTATTATAAACAGATAAAGAAATTGTACTATCGAGGAATGATTTCATTTTGTAAGCATACTTTTACGCTTGCAGCCTTCCCCGAGGTTCAAGAATTTCGGGTAACGGAAGATTGGGAATTCGTCATTTTAGCCTGCGACGGTATCTGGGACGTAATGACGAGTAGCGAGGTTGTGAACTTTATTCGATCGCGCTTGGTTCAAACGAAAATCAGAACGGGGCAGGAAGAGGACACGATGGACCCTGAAGAAGTTTGCGAAGAACTTCTGAAGCATTGCCTTGCGCCAGACGCGTTGATGGGCACCGGCTGCGACAATATGACAGTCGTCCTTGTATGTTTCCTTCACGGGAAACCGTATTCTCATTTAATCTCGCGCTGCAAGGAATCCATTAGTACAAATCCTTAGTCATACTTTATGTTGATCATTTAAAAATTATTTATATTTAATTTTACATCGTTATCTCGAGACTATCACATCTCATTCGTCATGTTCGCATCACATCGATTGTTATAAATTTGTTGTTTTTTATGAATCTTCTCGCTTTTAAATCTTTATGAACAGGAATGTTTTAAGAAAGAATTTATTTTACATCAACAGTATTCTCGTTGTTATTATCGACACGTCTTATTTATAATTTTAAAAAGAGCAAGTTGCGAGCAAGTGGAATTATAAGTTTTTATTTACAATCTCGAACAATGGACAAGATGTGTCCAGATATAAGTTTAGTAACAATTCTTAGTAAAATGCATCGAGTTCTTCGTTCAAAGTCCATAACGGTCTTGTAAAGAGGAGACGGCCGCATTAGCAAGCGAGCTTAACCTGCCTGCGACCTTGTTCACTCCTTGACGTACACTTTCTCTGACGTCATCTAAATCGACTCCAGCTCTTCCGCCGCTCAGATGCATCGACAGAGAAGACGTAGGAGACGTCGCCGTAGAACTTCCTGTGCCAAAATAGTCGGCTGACGAAATGCTAGACGAACCTTCGAAACGTCGAAGAT